TACTCCTATTGATAATGACTTATATTTATTATAGAATATTTAATAGAGACAAATTTAAAAAGATAGGATTAGTTGAAAAGTAGGTAACTACTTTATCGAGAGTGAGATTTGATTAAAAATATCTTTATATTTTTAAACATAGAAAATATATATATATAATCAAATAATTAAGCTTGTCTTAATATTTCCAAGCTTCAGATTTTTTTAGACTTACCTAAATACTTGAATTATTAATTTTTTAAAAATAAATTTTTATTTTTATTTACAATTAATTATTTTTATAATATAAAAGTATAAAATATATTTCTGGGATACATAAAAATAAAAATTAATTTTTTTAAAAAAATTTTGTAGGTCTAAAGTTTAAAAATCAAGATTAATAGAGGAATTCTTAGATAGATTGGGTGTACCGGGTCATTTTTTATCTGTCCAATTAGAATGTTCCAAGTTATCTAAATAAAATCTTATGTGATATTATTTTAATTAATTTTATTTTTTCAATAGAATTTATCTTTAATTTTTTGTATTTTCTTTCTCTACTAATATTAACGTTAAAATTAATTTATATTTAATACTGTCTGAATGTTATGTTTTAATTGAATAAATTACAAATGACGTGGTGTACTCGGTCTACCTAAAAGTTTTTGATATTAACATATATTTTAAAAATTTGTTGAGGTATTTTATGAATTAAAAATAATAAAAATAAAACAATGTGAACAATTTTCCAAAAAAATATATAAAAATATCCTCAAACATATGATCTTGGTATAAAATGAATTAAAATTTAAAGAAATAGTTAATATTTGATATATTATATATATTTTTAAAAAATATTTTTGTATTCAAGTATTTGAGTTTGGCCTGAATTTATAGGTCTTAACATTAAAAAATTTTAATTTCACTAAGTCCAACTATAAATTTTTTAAAATTTCTTTAAATTTGACTTGAATGATCAGCTTTATTTTCAAGTGCATCTCTATATTCCTCTTTCTAAGTTCACCTTATCTAATCGATCCCTCTAACTGAAATTATAGTAACAAACTTTCAATTATATTTTACATATTAATAAAGTAATTATCTTCTATTTATAAAAATCACATATTTTTTATTTTTACCCCTTTTGTGGTAATAAATCAGAAAACGTATTTAGTCAAATTATATTTATCATACTCACCTTAATTGATATAAAGGTAAATTTAGAAAAAATAATTTTAAAAAATACTCTTTTTATTAAAAAATATAAGACATTTTTAACCAAATCTCATCCTCAATAAAGTAGTTACTTACTTTCAAACTAATCCTATTTTTTCATATCTGTCTCTATTAAATACCCTATAATAAATATAAAATTACTATCAATATGAGTTCTTTTGAAAAAAAAATAATGATTACACCTTAAAAGATTAAAAATACTTTACAATTTTTAATATTTAATTTCTCAAAAAATTGTAATTTGCCTGAAACAAATTACACTTATTCAAATATAATTATATTTAAATATTATAAATTAAATAACACTTGTGCCAAAAAATTAGCTGTAAATAGATTTTGACTCACAACACATTAAGACAAATTGTAAACTCCGTGCATTTTTAAGACTTTATTAAATCATATTTTCAAAATCAACACCATATTTTTTTTTTTAAAAAATTACTTTTAGTCTTTACATTTTACTCAATTTTTGTCATAGATTCTCATACTTTTTTTTAGCGTTTCAGTCTCTATCTTTTTTTTTTGTTGGTCCTTATAGTTTTAGAGAAACGGTGATGTGGCGTAAATGGTGTTGAGAATATTGACATATTCACCGAGACTATCAAGTTTGTGTTGATATGTTAAATGAGTGTTGAGTTAAATTTTTTAATAAGTAAAATAAATTAAAAAACTGTATCAAATTTAAAAAGGGTTAACTCCAATATCAAAAAAATATCTCAAAAAATATTTTAAAATTGATTTTTAAATTTCAACACCCGCAATTGTGTTTTTTAAATGAGTCTACATTTTTTTTAAGTATTCCTAAAATATATTTTACATTTTTATAATATAGAAATAACTAGTTTTAAAGTAAAAGTTAATTTTTTATAAGTTTGGAATAAGCCTGACCTATCCAAATTACTGGCTTTAGTTGAAAGGAGATTAGGTTGAAAGCTTCTAGTTCTTCTATTGCCTTTTCTTAACCCTCCAAACTTCAGCTTCAAGTTGGGCTTTCAAATACTTGAATTGTTGAATTTTCTAAGTTTTTTAAAAATATTTTTACTTTAAAATTAATTAGTTTTATATTATAAAAAATATAAAATATATTATTGTAATATTTAAAAAGTATAAAAGTCTCAATTTTTTTAAAAAATTGTAGGCCATGAAGTTTAAAAATAAAGATTAAAATACATTTTAAATATTTTTTGAGATGTTTTGAGTTGATGGTTTTTTTTTAACTCAAGTTAGCTTTTTTTTTTTAATCTAATGTAACCTTTTATAATTTTTTTGTTTATTAAAAAGTCCAACTCTATATCCATTTAACATATTACCACAAACTTAAAGTATTAATGGACACAAAGCAATCTTAACCTCGTTTGTACAATATCAATGCCTCTTTGTAAATATAAAGCCCAACGTTATAGACGAACAAAATATAGGAAGATGAAATATTAAAGAAATGGTACAAGAATGTATAAAAAAATTCAAGTAAATACAAAGAACAAAAATAATATTCCTCTTATTTTTTTTATATAATTGTCCAAGTATCATCACAATTTCAAGCATATTTAGGGTGCGTTTGGTTTCTCCACATTTAGCATCTGGAAAGGTATTTTTTACTTTCAGAAAGTCAAATATTGTTTAGGATCTATTTATCAAATACAACAAACTTTTAAAAAGGACTTTTGAAAGTAGGCTGAAATGGCAAAAATTAGAAGCATAATTTTGTAGCTTTTGCAATGTAAATTGGAGCATGTACTGATACCTACTATTTCAATTGACCATGATACCCCTTCTTGTGATTTTGTCCTTCTTGTGCAACTAGCTTGAGCTCATAACTCATCTCATCATTCTCTCTTCTGTGTGTGTTTTTGGTTGCTCAATCTCACTCCACCGTTGCTCCTCCGTCACTTTGTCGTTTCTCCTCGGTTGCTCTGCTGTCTCTCCTCATTCTCTCCTCCACCATTTGGTCACAAACCTGACTCCTTCCATTCTTCCTTCCCCGAGCTCCTCATCTCTTTTCTTCATCCTTCCCTGTCGTTCCAGTGGCCATCTCGCACCTCCTTCTCTTTGCCATCTCTCCTCACATTCCCACAATTGTTTAGTCGCAAATCGGACTTAGGTCCCTTTTCCTTTTTGAGTTTTGTCTATTATTTTTTCAACCTCTTAAGCTTCATCTCCTTCGTCTCTCCCCCGTGTCTCCTCCATCGTCTTGATCTTCTTTTGTTCTTTTAACCAAATTTTGCTCCTTTACCAGAAAGCTATTCTCTACTTGAAGAAGAAAGAGAAAAATTATTATGAAGTTTATGCAAGAATAGTATTTTAAGTTTTATAATTTACCCTGATTTCAAATTAATACCCATAAGTTTTACTTTTTTTTAAATTACTTGTTTAAAGATTTTATTAGAGATTAAATTATATTTTATAGATTAAACCATTAATAATGTAACTATTCAATATTAATGAATGTTGAACTACTTATTACATAATTTTTTTGAATATTAAATTATATATTTTGTATTCCTTTATTTAACATCTTAAATTTTTTGTTATTGAAAATTTTTTTGACATTTTTTAAACATTTCTAATACATAATATTTGCATAATAAAAATTACAAATTATTATAAATCAGTGTCCTTTTTAGTCATTGTATATTCAAAAGTACATTTTAAAATATAAATTTTTATTAATTTAAATAACTTTCAGTTTTTTAAATTTACTTTTGAAAAAAAATATTCAAACATAAATTTCGTTATAACAACTGGCTTTCATTAAACCGACTTTTATTAAATAAACTTTTATTAAACTGATTTTTAATAAATTAAAAATCAAACACACACTTATTAGTGTGGAAATAAAACCTGTTTACGACGGGCCCACCTCACCTACTGACTGCAGGGAGTAGGAATTAGGAAATCTCAAAGCAACAATGGGAGAAGAATGAAATATAAAAATCAAATATATAATCAAATAATCAAATAAATAAAGCAAAAATGTTTTTGAGTTCTGGCCAGCTCGCTCTCTCTAACTTGGCTAACTATTTCGGGTTTATTTGGTTTTCTGACGTTTTAGATTCAGAAAGTAACACTTCACTTTTAAAATGTTGAAGGTTATTTAAATAAAATATTTTATAAAAAAAATATATTTAAAAGCACATTCAAAAATAGTTAAAAATAAATTTTTTAAAACGTAATCATTTAAAACTTTTAAAAAGTAAATTTAAAAAATAGAATATTATTTAATCATACTATTTCAAGTTTAATATCTTATTCTTTTATTTAATTAATTCATTAAAAATATAATTATAATTTCAATAATAACAATAATTATGTATTAAATTTTTAATATTATAAATTAAATAATTAATTATGTTAACTTTTAGCATTAATGTATAATATAAATTATAAATCTTTATCATATTTTCTAAAATTACAAATTTAAAAAAAGTAAAAATAACTAGAGATCAAATTTATAATATTATAGATCAAATCTTATGTTATTTTAAATTTTTATCATATTTTTTAAATATTTTAAATACATTATATTTGTAAAATAAAAATTATATATCATTATAAATCAATGTTTTTTTAATAATTATATATTTAAAAAATATTTCACCATTATAAATCAAATAATGTTTAGCGCATCAAACTAATTTTTAAAAATATATATTTAAATATAAATTTTATTATAATAATTAACTTTTATTAAATTAATTTTTATTAAACTTATTTTTATCAAATAAATTTTTAACGTACTAAAAATCAAACACATTTAACCCCATACCTTCCTCTCTCTATAAAACCCACCCTTCTCTCTTCTACTCGAGAGAGGCTCACTCACCAACACCATTCAGATCAGAGGCACAGCATCCCCATTCTTCGGCGCGCTCTCTCTCTCTAGCCACAATGCTCACACTCCTCCTCTCTCTCCTCCTCATTTCCTCCTTCCCAGGTACAATCTCTCTCTGTTTCTCTCTCAAACACGCAAATCCACATTTTTCTTTCACTAACTTGAAATACAAAGGTAATGTGACTAATCTGTGTTGTTTTTTTTTTTTAAAAACCAGTTCTTGAGGTTTCAGCGTCTTCAGTTATACTGTACAACAAGTGTTCGCACCCTGTTTGGCCGGGAATACAACCCAGCGCCGGCAAGCCCCTTTTGGCTCGAGGAGGCTTCAAACTCCCGCCAAACAAGGCCTACGCTCTTAATCTTCCCCCTCTCTGGTCCGGCCGCTTCTGGGGCCGTCACGGCTGTGCCTTCGACGCCTCCGGCCGCGGTCGCTGCGCCACCGGGGACTGCGGCGGCTCACTTTTCTGCAACGGCATCGGCGGCACCCCTCCGGCCACCCTTGCGGAGTTCACCCTGGGCAACGACCAAGACTTCTACGACGTCAGCCTCGTCGACGGCTACAACCTGCCTATCTCCATCAAGCCGTACAAGGGATCTGGGAAATGCAGCTACGCTGGTTGCGTCAGCGACCTGAATCTGATGTGTCCGGTAGGGCTTCAGGTGAGGTCTCACGACAAGAGTGTGGTGGCCTGCAAGAGCGCGTGCTCCGCCTTCAACTCGCCGAGATATTGCTGTACAGGAAACTATGGAACCCCGCAGGCCTGCAAGCCGACGGCGTATTCGAGGATCTTCAAGACGGCGTGCCCTAAGGCTTACTCTTACGCCTATGATGACCCCACCAGCATCGCCACTTGCACAAAAGCTAACTATCTGGTCACTTTCTGCCCTCGCCGTCGCCGTTGATCTGTATTTGAATCTCTGGAATGTAATACGAGTTGTTTAGGTCTAATGCGTGGTGAAATGAGTTTGGTTTAGTGTACTGTGATAGCAGCAACTGAGATTATAATTAATTTTTATGTCCTTTGTGCTTTGATTGCTTCATTATGGTCGTCTTCTTGGTTGGTCCTGCACGAATATTAATTCCTTGATTAGTGCGAAATTGAATCCAGGTGGATCAACTTCTGAATGTTGGGCCCATTTGACGGAACATCATTTTTTTCCACCACACTATAATGAGCTAAAATTTGATGGACAGTGGGTCCGCACTTCCTGAGAATCTGTGTAAAGCCCAAGGTCATGTGAACTCTCACCATCTCAATTTAATAAAAAACTTATTATCTCAAGACATAAAATATTTTTAAAAAATTAATATTTTATTAATAAATTTATTTTAATATTATTTTTTTCTCTCTTTATTTAATACAAATTAAATATAAATTTAAGATTATTAAATAAAAAATATTTTTAAAAAGTTTTTATTTTTATTTTTTTAAAATAAAATTATTAAGTTCATAAAAGTTATTGATATATAAAATTTTATCTAAATATGTCTTATAATTTAACATAAAAAAATATTATTTTATATTTTATATTTTAAATTACTTTTTTTATTAAAAATATATGTAGTATTTTTAATTAATTTTTATCTCTTAATAAAATGTTTATTTATTTTTAAACTAATTTTAACTTTTTATATTTATTTTTACAAATGTTTTAAAATAAATATAAATTAATTTATTTAATAAGATTACTTTTAAAAAATAATAATTATATATTAAAAAATTAAAAATGTTTTATATTTTTTAAATATTTAATTTTTTTAAAAATATTTTATATTTTTTAATGAAAAAAAGTATAAAATACTCTTAAATAAAATTTTACATATAAAAAATTTATTAAATATATTTTATAATTTTTAATTTTTTTAAAAAATATAAAATTTAAAAATACTTTTTTTTTATTAAATATTAAAATAAATATATTTAATAAAAGTTTATTTTTTCAAAACATTTTATATTTTGTGATGTAAAATTTTTTTTAAAAATATTTTATAATTTATATTGAAAGAAATATATTTTTCATATCCAGTAAGGTAAAGGTTAACCAAGTCTTTTTAGGAGCTCAAACTCATTGCAGCGAACTTATAAGTTCTTGCCATTTTAAGCTTGGTTATCGTTGACAAGGTGCAGTGCAGGCTCTAAAGTCCATGCATTTTATTTTCTAATTTAAATTTTTAATTATATTTATTCATAATTTAACAAGTGTCATTTTCATATTATTAATTTAAAAATTAAAATAAATCAATCAAGTGTCATTTCCTATTTTATATTTTCAACGATTTTTAATGATTTTAATCCCATGGTAATAAAAAAACAGAGAGAGAAAATAATTAAAAACTTAAATGGACTAACTCAAGCTTGAACCATTTTTTACGTGCTTATAAGGGTTGGATTTGAAATTTTTAATGTAAAATTTATCTATTTTTTCACACCCAATCTCAAAAAATACAGGTTTTGAATAGGTAGCTAGAAGCAGTGTCCATTTAAATTTCAGTTGGATATAATAAATTACGAAAATAATTGATTAAGTGATAGATTTTAATCATAATTGATTATGTTATAATGCAATCTATTTAGATATTATTTTTCTAAAATTAATTTTAACAGAATTAAAGATGTTTGAATAATTTAATTAAAATTAATTTTAGCTATATAAATTACTATATAATTTAATTTTTAAATATCAAATATTAATTTTTTGAGGATACAAGATTTGAATTTTATTAAGAAAAAAAAGAGAAGAGAAGAGAATTTAGTTTTATTTTTATTAAATTATGTGCTTTTTTGTAATTTTTTCGTGGGCCTTTTTTTGTAATTTTCCACAATATTTTTGGATAAACTTCTGAAAAAAAAAAGCTTGGCTTGGCAGCTTCGGAAAAAAAATCGATTTTCACCCTACAAATCGATTAACCAAAAAACTTGGTGTTTGGATAATTGAAGCCAAAATTAATTTTTTTTAAAAAAATCGATTAATATAACACACACGCAATCTACTGTATTGCGGTGCGGTTCTAACTAGGAATTGGAGAGTTGGTCCGAGAGAGAGAGAGAGAGAGAGAGAGAGAAGGGGAATTGGAAAGGAATGATATTTTCGTGAGAAGCAACAACGTTGGTTGCTTCAACTGGAAATAGATTTTTTTTATTTATTCAGATTTCGTGGCAGTGTACGAGTTTTGTTTTCGATATTTTATTGTGTGAAACAAACATCACATATCGGGGGTATCTTGATTCTTGATACAACATTTTCATTGGAACTCGTTTTCTGTCCTGTAATGAAATATCGATGTGAACAAATCAGACAAGAAGTATCAAAATAATCTGAAATGAACTTAAGCACGAAAGGTACAAGGAGTGATATTATAAAGAAAAAAACAAATATGAGAATACAAAGCGTCCACACGCAACAATCAGATTTCACGTATTTAGATACATATGCAGAAACTTGTGAGGTCCAAAGGAGAATAGGAAGAGGCAGGAACATGTCTGAATTGATGAGGCCAAAACCGTGGGCATGGATTGTTGTGTTCGGTGTTCCTACTCCTCTGAAACACTTGCTTGATCTATAATGTAAAGTGTTTTTTATATTCTGTAATAACATTTAGTTATTGATCTCATAGACATACATGAAAACTTCTCTGTTTTTTTTTTTTTTCTACAAGTCTAATTCAATGAGATTTTTTTACTGTGCAAGTGTTTTTTTATTAACAACGATCTTAAACCCAAAAAAAAAAAAGTAGTTGTTTATGTGAAACCTGACTCTTACTAGTACTGACACGGGTAGAGCTGGTAATTTGGTTCAAACTCAAATCCGTGTGAAAAAATTTAAAATCAAGCTTGAGAAAAGAATAATTTTTTTTATATTCCTGAATAAGTCCAAAAAAAATTATGCCAATTTCAATTGGGTTCGGGCTTAACCCGAATACTTGAAAAAAATATATATATATTTAAAAATATATAAAATATAATAAATATTAATTAATTTTTTAAATTTTTAAGTCATTTTATATTAAAATATTATATATTAAAATCTACACATCATTTAAGCAACCAAAAAATTTGTATTTGTATCTTTATTAAATAAAATGACTCAAGCCAAGTTTAACTAAAATTTTTCAAAAAGTCAGATATATTATGATTGGACTTATCCCAACTGAGCCTGAACTCGTCTGCTCTGCCCGAATTCTCACCTTCAGTCAGGAGAAACTTTTTTCAACATACTTGAAAAACACAGGTCCATCATGCTTGGCACATTAAAATTAGATTCAAAAAAAATAAAATTAAAATTAAAATTATATTTTTAATAATTTAATATGCATGAATTTAATTTTTTATGAATTTTAATTCTGTCAAAATACTCAAAATTTAATTTTATCTCCATTGTGATAAAATCGTCACAATTCCATAAAATTATCATAAATGTCCCACATACACACTCCATCATGATGCTGAGTTTTTTATTTTTTTTATGAGGGCATTTTGGTTTTTATTCATTTTAAATATATATATTTAACAATATTATATTTAGATTTTATCTTCATACTAAATATATATTTATAATTTAATTTAATTTTAATTTTAATTTTAATTTTAATTTTAATGTTATCAAAAACTCTTTCATTATATTAAATAAGGGCTTGAAGAATCTTTTAAATGTCCAACGGATGATCACTCATGTCGATAAAGACCGCCTGTGCAAAGACACGTGATGGTGTGGTGGCCAGCTGCTGCTCACCATGCCTTTGCAGTTTGCACTGTTGATGGACGCGTCCTCTTTTTGTGTGCATGATTTGATTTTTGACCTTAACATTTACCCTGATCCAGTAAATATTTTTTTAGCACACTTTTTTTTAGTGTTTAAGCAAACATAAAATATTATAATTATAATTATGTACAATAGGTTGGATTTTTTATGTTTTGATGATGATGATGGTGAAACTGCCCCATTGTGTTTTTGTAGGGTAATTGAAGTTAGCTAGATTTGAGACCCGCGTGATCCATGAGACATTAACCCTATATTTAATTTAAAGAGAATGAAAAGGGCACGACAAAATAAAAAGTGTTAATATTTTTTTAAAGGATAAATGATGCTCCCTCAATTTAAAAATATAAGATATTTTTAATTGAATCTCACCCTGAATAAAATGGTTACTTACTTTTAAATTGACCTTATCTTTTTATATTTACCTCTATTAAACACTCTACAATATATATAAAGTCATTCATCAATAAGACATCTTTAAAAAAAAATAATGATTACATCTCAAAAAATTAAAAATATTTTATATTTTTAAACATATAATTTCTTAAAAAGTATCATACTTTTTAAATGGAGGGAGTACTTTAAGATTTTAAGTGAAGAAAGATGTAGGAATAAAGAAGTAAAAAAAATTAATTTAAAATTTTTAACACTATTTTTAAACTTTTAAATCAAACTCGTTAAAATTCCCGTCATTCCTCTCAAACTAAACAATTTATAAAATCTAATAGAAGTTAAATATTGAGTAAATGTTGATCTTATAATTTTACAAAAAAAAAATATTAAGGACAATGCGTGAATTGATGTTTTCAAGGATGATTTTACAAAACAAAAAATTGATAGTTTCTAAAAGTGTGAAATAAAATTATATCACTTAATTAGCATATTTTATCCCAAATTTATCATTCCATGCATATTAAAAATATCAACAAACATGTATTATAGTTCAAAATTTATAACTCACTTGTATTAAAAATATAAAAAACAACTTATTTATTTTAGAATCTTTTATTCATGCATATGGTAAAAATGTAAGTGATACCTTATTTTATTTTGTTGTATTTCATCTCGTGCAATTTAAAATTTAATCAAGATAACATGCCCAAAATTATTTAATAATACTTTTAATGAAAACATTTTTAATTTAACTTACAAAATCCATTTAAAAATATGCAACCTTACTCGAGTCAAAAAGAAAAAACTGCAACCCCGATTGGGTGAGGGGGAAAAACAAAAGGGCCACCTAAAATATCTTTTCATTTTAGTCTTTGGCCCGCATAATTTTT